AACTATGAGGAAGACCTGTTGGCTTTCACTAACTGGGAAAGCACTTCCAGAAACCCATTCTGGAAAGAGGTTTGTCGCTCATCCTGGCACTCCTGGCGCTGCTCACGCCGCTCCGACAATTCATCCTGGCGCTGCGCCAACACTTCATCCTGGCGCTCCATCTGCCGCGTCAACACTTCAGCCTGGCGCTCCATCATCGTGAGCATCTTGTCCTCCGTTTCCTGGGCCTTGCTTAACAGCCCCATCTGATCCCTGTGCATCGACTCTTTGACCACGGCACGCCGGTCCTCCATCGCCTCGACGGTGTCAAAGAAATTCTCATCCCGTGCCCGCTTTCCTAAGAGGAAAAATAAGCAAGATACAAGTTCTGTTTAGTCGCCATGTAGTTTTACAACATACTAAGAATGTGTTTACTAGTCAACATTGGACAGGGTGCAGGCAGGGACAAGACAGTGTACACAATGCAAGTGTATAGTAGAAGATAATATAGCATCAAATAGCATAGCCTACCAAAATATATATATATATACACATACATACACACTGTGTGTGTGTGTGTGTGTGTGTGTGTGTGTGTGTGTGTGTGTGTGTGTGTGTGTGTGTGTGTGTGTGTGTGTGTGTGTGTCTGTGTGTGCGTGTAGCTGCCGCTCAAAGTGCTCTTATTTATTGTTTTGTATTTTTGAAGAGTGCTTAATGTATGCTTGAACTTTGTCATGCATTTGTCATGCAGAGCATCCAAGCGCTCCTCGTACCATTTATTTATGCTTGCCACTAACAGAACTAAAGGGGAAAAGTATGAGTGAAAGTACTCCGGTGTGAACACGGCTAATGCTTATTGAAGAAGACACTAGGGCACAGTGAGGGACACAACCCCCTCATGCACCCTACAGTGCACCATAGGCCCTCAAACCACCTGATACACTAATTGACTTCCAGGGCCATCCTGTGGTACGAGCAAACCACCTCCCAGGGCAGCCTTTTTTGCAGGCTTTCTCTAAAAAAACTGCACCCAAGGCTGCTGGTGTAATTGATCAGTCTGTACAATATGGCTTGCAGAGAAACTGTAAATAATCAAGGAATGAAACCTGTGTATTATGGGTGTACTTTATAATTATAATGCTTAACATCTCTTTTCATTTATCCTGTGAATGCGCTTTTTTTTTGGCCAATGACATTTCCAACATGGATACATTTTTTAACTACTTGCTAAAAGTATCCAAGTTGGTTAATAACAAGTGAAACACGTGAGAACAAATATATTGCACGCTTCATTATTACCAATGCCGATCAGGTTGACTAACTCTCCTGTACTTTTTGAACACACTTGATACTCTTTGGCAATTCATGTCATCTGTAAGCTTCTTTATTAAAACCTCCTGTGTGTTAATGATGCAAATGATTTTTAAAACATGTACAGTGGCCTGACTTTTTAAGTTACACAGTCATGCACCCTGGTGGACAACAGGCACATTTCATTGGATTAATCCTAATTGTAGTTCACCGCCAGCACAATAGAGGGCACATTTGTATTTGTAGATCAATGTACTTTTGTGGACAAAATAACCAAAGAAGAAGAGGCCCCTCAACTGAGGAAAATGGCCGACGTTGAGGTGGACATCGCGTCCACAATAATGAATAATGGCAACGAACACGTGTAAGTCATTTAATTTAATATAAGACGTTTGTGGTAATACGGTGCAAGTTTCGACCCCGTCTAACATCAAAGGGGAATTGTTCTGTACGTTTTAGCTGCGGGGGTTAACAGTAGCATCTTCACGTTGTTGCCGGGGCTAACGTTAGCTAAATCGCTCACCGACGACTAGCTAACGTTCTTAGCCAACCAGCTAATGTTCTTTAGCTCACCTAGCTTTACGGTTTGCTAAACGCATAACATATAGAAGTGTACCTTATCCGCGTCCTTGTTTATTTACGTCCACACTATGTTCCTATGAGACCTTATGCAACCAAACACTTGTGTTTGGTCCCATGCGCCTATCATGTAAAGTAAGTTAGCATAGCTTGACGCTACCTGAGGATGAAGCTTGCTTGCTAGCTCTAACTTTGCTAGTAACGGTTAGCGTATCCGTGCTAATGAGAGAACACCGTCTTGGCGGTTGTCTTGGTGGGAAGAATGAAACCGTGAAGTGTGCATGGTTACACATGGTTTTTGTCGCCTCCCTAATAAGCAGACATTTCTCAAAAAGTTGTGCCTATTCATGTTAGCGTTTCTGTATATTGTGTTTTGCCGTTTTTATCTTAATTCGGCACATTACGTAATCATGGTTTAAACTATTCGTCTAACTGGTGCTCACAGTGATCTCAAAACTTACCTCTGATGAGTTACATGTTATTCTAAAAGGACTTTAAAGCTATACTTTATCTTGCAACATATTTGCACCATTTCAGTCTATTTATGCTTGAAGACGGCAGCAGTTCCTGTGGTGTTTTGAGAAATAAATGCAATGTAAACAAAACAACTAATATGATAAGTATTTATTTAATCATATTTATTAAAGTGGACTTTCTGAAGAAGATTTTAAGGACACAAGTTAATTTCACCACAGTACCAACAGTTTCAGTGATACCAAAGACTGGTTGCCAATGGTTACCAGTGTTGGAGGAGAGACAACAATATAAAGCCTTTGTACTACTAAGCTGTGCAAGTCTACATCTGGGGGTTATGTCATAATCACTTGATGAACTGATTATTATTTTCATTTAATTCATTCTGAATAGCTTGAAGTAGAAACTATCATTGTGAATCAGTTATGTCATGTCTGATTAACAAGATCTGGATTATCTTTGGACCAGGTTTTTTTTTTATACAATTGTTGTCCGTTAATCCCGTCAATCGTCATGTTTGGAAGTCATTTTAGCAATACTATGTTTTTGTGTGTGCTCAATGTTCAAGATTGTTCTCTCCTATACAGAAAGCAAGATCTGGAGATCCAGGAAAAAAGTGGAAATGAGGACAGCGGAGATGTGTCTGAAGAAGAAGGAGAAGAGGAGGAAGAGGTAGGGGTGGACAAGAGCAAGACCTAAATATCCTCAGTGGTATGATGCCATGATTCTGATCAACATTTTACCTTCAATTTATTTTGAGTTGATTTTTTAATTAAGCAATCTAAAAAAAAAAATCTTAAACTGTATCAGCAATGGGGCTTCAAGTCTGCACTTGAAAAAATATTATACACATTTAACAAAAAATAGTGTCAGTTATATGTTTGACCTTGTGGACAAAGGGAGAAAAAAAGTATCAAACAACAGATACATAATTCCCTTCGTTTAATTTCATTTTTAGTTTCCCCCTTAGTGCATTTTCATTTCTACGGGGTGAAGGCATCATTATGCCATAACATCATTACATACAAGCACAAATACAAAATTAAAATAATACCCATATTTATTCTGTTTTGATTTGTTACTTTAACACTGTCTGACATTCAAGAGATAAGTGTTCAACCATATACAAATGAAGATAATAGCTATGCTTATACAACAGATCTATACATTTAAATAATGGGATTATCTTAAACCTGAATAAAATGTCAAGCTGATATGTTGTCTCTTCCTAGGAGGAGGCAGAGACTAATGGTGAGAAGACTGAAGAGGTGTCCAAACATCACAGCAGCAGCAGCGGTAAACACAAGCGGAAAAAACACAAGCATCGCAGCAAGCACAAAAAACACAAGCATGTCTCTGATGAGGACAAGGACCGTAAACGCAAGCATCGTCACAAACACAGGAAACACAAGCGCAAAGAGGGCTCGTCTCCCTCTGCTGCTGCTGCTGCTGCTGTTGCCGCCGCCGCCGCCCTGTTTGCCTCCGGCCACAAAAAAATGGAATCCTCTCCCTCCTCTGGAAATCCAAGTCTGGATGACAGGGCCTTGCTGGAGGACTTGGAAAAACAGAGGGCCATGATCAAAGCTGAGCTGGACAGCCAGTTGATGGAGGGAAAGGTCCAGTCAGGCATGGGTCTGATCCTTCAGGGTTATAACTCTGGATCCGAAGAGGATGGAGAAGGCAGGATGAGAAATGGAGAACAGCGTCAAAGGGGCAGCTCAGGAAAAACTACATCTCCCAGAGGGGCAAAAGGTGGGAAGTCTAGACGGGACTCAACAGAGGGTAGTAAGTCTGCCTCCAAGCGCCGTAGTAGGAGTAAGTCTGCTGACAGGCTAGGGCAGGTCAAGGAGCCAAAGCAGGAAAAGGTGACCAAAACCCCCAAGGACACAACTGGTAAAGACAGAGGCCGTGGCAGAAGCAGGTCAAAAGACAGAAAGCCTTCGGACAGCACTGATAGGTCCAAGGACAGAACAACGAAGTCCAACTCAGGCAGCCACACTGATAAACGTTCCTCTCCACCGCGGGACGAGAGACCAAACCAGGAGAGAGCAAGAGGGCGGTCCAGATCACGAGAACGACCGGGTCGCTCAGACGCCGACAAGGACAAACGGCCCGCTAAGTCCCCATCCAAGGACGCGTCCTCTGGGAAAGAAAACCGCTCCCCTCACAGACGAGGGCCCCACAGCCCTATGAAGAAACGCAGTGCTTCCCCTCGCCACAGAGAGGCCCAGAATCCCGCAGCTACTGCCACTGACAGGGCATCCAAACAGAGCCAGTCTCCTATCAGAGCAAGGTCCCCCCCTCGGAGACCCCGCAGCCGCTCGCCAGACCCAAGGAGGAGGGAAGCTGACAGACAAGACTCACCGATGAGGTTATTAAACAAGCTGTTTTAACTTTTATAACTTCTAATGGTAATATAGGTTGACTGACACACAGGAGTCAGTGTTACATGCCACACAAGTGGTTATTACAATGAATTAATTCAATCTTAAAGATGAACAGGGATCAAGTGTTGGAAAATAAAATCAGGAACAAAAGGACTGTTTAAACATTTCTTTACTTTAAAAAATGTCTTCCAGTCACATTCAAGATATAACACATACAGATACAAATTGAAATACAGAAAAAGAAAGTAAGGGCATGGAGTCCCTCGCCCACTCCATTGGCTCTGTGAAACGGTAAAAGTAATCACAGTTACGATAGCTTTTCCTGATGGTCCTTTTGCACAGTAACTGTTAAGTTAAAATGTAGAATGTGCGGTTGAGCTCATCTCTCCACTCCCTTGATGTTTTCAGGAAGCGCCCCCGGCCAGATGCTGGGCCAGGCAGAGATCGCTCACGAGAGAACAGCCCCAGAGGAGTCGCTCGGCGCAGGATGAGTCGCTCACCTCTAAGAAGGAGGTCCATGTCACCTCGACGACGCTCCCGCTCCTCCCCTCGCAGACGGAGCAGGTCTCCACTGGCACACAGGTGATTGCACTTTTTATTCGCACTTCGAATCAGCTTTTGACCTTTTCTCATTCTTTGATGCTTCTCTTTGGTGTTTTGCAGTGAGCATCAAAACTGAATTTACTAGTGTTATGGCAAGTAACAAGGTAATAAACTATCACTCCTTCACATCCATGCCTTGCAGGCCAGGGGACAGGGACCGGTATGGAAGACCCAGACAGTACCGACGCTCAATGTCCCGCGACCGGGACAGGAGACGAAGACGCACCAGAGACGAAGACAAGTTCAAGGGCAGCCTGTCGGAGGGCATGAAGGTCGACCAGGAGTCCTCAGAGGGAGAAGCGTGAGTAAAACCGGATTGTTACCCTTCTGTATCTTTGTGATACTGTTTTACAAATGATATTAAGGTTTCATGTTTGATTTTAGTTCAAATGCCAAGTGAAAATGGAAGAAAAATAGACTTGCATTTTGTGAATCATATATTCTATGAATCTGTGTTAATAAAGTTTTAGTCAGTTCAAAAGTGTATTAGATACAGTGTTCCATGACTGCTACCTAGCTGACTAATATTAGATCACCTACATTGGCCCTGATAATGAAAAGATTGTGCATATCCATCGTTCTGACCAATTTTTGTTTGCAGTTTAGAGGACTTTGATGGAGAGGAGGTCGATGAAGAAGCTCTCATTGAACAGCGTCGCCAGCAGCGCTTGGCCATCGTCCAGGTCTGTTTACGTTTGATTCACCCCTGCTGTTAAATAAGTCTTATAAATCAGTCTGATGTTGGTGAAAAAGTTGTAAACAAACACCCTTTTCAATGGACCGTGCTTACTGTGTTTGAGATGTATTCTAATGGTCGCTCAATGTTTACAGAAATACAAGGCTGGGAATGAGGACTCCAACATGGCGTCGGAGCCCTGCAGCCCTCAGAGCAGCACGCGCAGCCGTTCCCCCTCCCCAGACGACATCTTGGAGCGAGTAGCTGCAGACGTCAAGGAGTATGAGCGGGAGAACCTGAACACCTTCGAGGCCAGCATCAAAGCCAAGCACAACCTCATCGCCCAGGAGAAAGACGGTAAGGTCTTGACACGTGATTGTATCTGTCGGCAAACAAGGCCAACTGAATGAACAACTTTGCGGTTAACTGCAATTAATAACTCTAAAAGAATAAGGGGAGGTTGGTGGTGCATTGTACATTATCTACTGGATATATGCACAATAATATATACGATTTATGTGTACGGTGGCATTGACGGGTCAATCTTCAGCACCTCATCCCCATTCAAGAACTTGTTCCTCCACACCTGCTAGCCAGAAGTATGATCACACTAGTTCTCCAGAGGGCCTCAATCATGTATGGCTTAAACTCTTTGGTAAAATGGAATGAGGAATAGGTCAATCACAAAAGTACTCTGACACAGCCATCCGTGGCAGAATGGGGTTAGCTGGACCCTGGTAACTACAGTGTATTGCAATCTAATGCCTCACCCATCACTTACACCTTTTGAAATGTAGCTGCATTCATCACTGAAGTGCACACTCTTCTGAGAACATGGAGATCAGAACCCGGAACAGCTAAAAGCTCCATCAAGGACAGCAATCACTGTGAATAGTGTCCTCTCAGCTTTCTGGCTTTGATTTTTATCGTAAGCAAATGGCATTTTTTTACAATGCCATTCCCCCCCGTTCAATCACGGTCACTCCAGAAAGTCCAAATCACAGTTTTGCCCTGGCTTTTTAAATTCAGTGAACTAAAAAGGGCATTGATGTTGGCACTTTTTCTGGTCTATTATACACGGTGATGACTTAGACTGACCAAAGAATGACGGTCTATACAAAACAGAAATGGCTCTATTTGTGTAAGAAATGCAGAGTTGTGTGATGCAGGGATTTTAATTTTGTTTCTTTCTGTCGTGTTCATTCAGTTGCTGGCTTGTAATCCAAAGCGTGGGTGTCTCTGCCACCTGCAGCATGTTTTGATCTCTGCAGAGTATGTGAATCAAATACATGTTCCAGATATTCTGTTTTACAACATGCTGGATTACTTGAAGCTCATCCTGTTGTTTTATTGTTTTTGTTCGTTTCAGGAGCAAACCCAAAGAAGCCTTCAGCGCCCGACATGTTTACAGAGTCAGATGACATGTTTGCTGCTGACTTTGATGTGAGTATTTTGTGATTTAGGAAAATGAAAAGTCAAATTTTAGCAGCACATCTGAGCTTTACTCTACTCTTCTGCTGTTTGTTATCTTTGTAATGTTCACTGGCTTTGTAGGAAACTGAGAGAATAAAGTGATAATGGGAAACACTGGAAGAGTCTCAGCATCTGTTATGTGCCACTGACCTCATTCTTTGTGTTTCTGCAGAGTGCCAGGATGAGAGCAGCAGGTGTAGGAAAGGACTTCAAAGAGAACCCCAACCTCAGGGACAACTGGACCGATGCTGAGGGTTACTACCGTGAGTGCTGCCTCCGTGTACTCTAGCAACTTCATATAAACACTGCTTCCTTTCAAAGCCTGTCCATATAGGCGCATGCATCTTAATTGACTTTTTCAATCCTTATGCCTCACCTTATTTTTTGTTTGCTGTGATGGCCTTATAGAACAAAAAAAGCCCCCTTCACAAAACTCCCCATGGTGGAAAAATGTTCTGAATCCATTAAAATAGTAAACAACAAACATTTGAACACAGTGCACTAGGTTTGAAACCTGATCAAATGAAAGTATACTTTTATTCTGTAACATTGGATCAAAATGGTGGACATTTTTCTTATGGCGTTTATGTCATTATTTTTGCTACACACAGTTTGTTATATAATTAATATAGGAGCTGAGGTTGAGCTTCCAAAATTCTAAGAAAGAAAAACAAGCCAAACATTTCCTTGGTGATGCACAGGTGTTAAGTGGAGAATCAGCCTTTCTGCTTTTAACCATTTCATGAATTGTCATCATTTAGGGGTGAATATTGGGGAGACACTTGACAAGCGGTACGATGTTTACGGCTACACCGGCCATGGAGTGTTCAGCAACGTGATCAGAGCCAGGGACACTGCCAGGGCCGGCCAGGAGGTGGCAGTCAAGATCATCAGAAACAATGAGCTCATGTGAGTCATACCTTTTTTCTATATGACTTAAAACATTTCTATGAATGTCAAATATATACAAACTTGTTTAGACGACAGAAATAAAATACTCTAAACAACAATAATCCCACGGATGTTGATATAATAACATTTATTTTTTGTTTTGCTTAACAGGCAGAAGACCGGGTTGAAGGAGTTAGAATTCCTCAAGAAACTGAATGATGCGGATCCTGATGACAAGTTCCACTGCCTCCGCCTCTTCAGGCACTTCTACCACAAGCAGCATCTTTGTCTGGTATTTGAGCCTCTCAGGTACTGACCAAAGGAACACTTCACCTTTCTTCTCATTGTTTGAGATCCATTGCTGTTTTTAGAATGTATGTGTTGCACTCACTTTTTAATGTCCTGCTCTATTCTCTTCTGCAGTATGAATTTGCGAGAGGTGTTGAAAAAATACGGTAAAGATGTCGGGCTTCACATCAAGGCCGTGCGCTCATACAGCCAGCAGCTTTTCTTAGCCCTCAAGCTGCTCAAACGCTGCAACATACTTCATGCTGACATCAAGCCAGACAATATCCTGGTAGGGTGTAAACCCCATTCTTAACATTTTTTAATTTAAATCAGTTAAGAGAAAATTACATTATTTTACGTGTACATTTCCCCCCCTTAAAGGTGAATGAGTCAAAGACCATTTTGAAGCTCTGTGATTTCGGTTCTGCATCACATGTCGCTGACAATGACATCACACCATACCTGGTCAGCAGATTCTACAGAGCTCCAGAAATCAGTGAGTTGCATTATTTTGTACCTCACCATTAATGAGTTCCATTTCGATCTGGACCTAGCTCACAATTATTTTTCTCAGTCATAGGAAAGCCGTACGACTATGGGATCGACATGTGGTCTGTTGGCTGCACTTTACATGAGCTTTACACTGGCAAAATCCTCTTTCCTGGATCCTCCAACAACCACATGATCAAACTAGCTATGGACCTCAAAGGCAAGATGCCCAACAAGGTAAAATTATGTCATATGACTTCACTTCCTTCAGTTATTGTTTCAGTTTCCTAGATGAAGTGTGTCGCGTTGCTGCTGTTCCATGCAGTGTTCCAGAAGTTGGCTGATGCAATATCGTGCGTTTCTCTCCTCAGATGATCCGTAAAGGCTTGTTCAAAGACCAGCACTTCGATCAGAATTTAAACTTCCTGTACATTGAAGTAGACAAAGTGACAGAAAGGGTAAGGAGTTTCCTACATCTTTTCCAGCACATTTACAGCTGATGAAATACCATTTCTATTAGTTATAAAATGTTGTTTCATAAGCTGTTAGGCCACACATTCAGATTGTGTTAAATATTGAAAATGACTTGACGTCTTTTTCATTTCCCTGCGCTATCAGGAGAAGGTGACGGTGATGAGCACCATCAACCAGACCAAAGACCTGCTGGTTGACATGATAGGACACCAGCGACTGCCCGAGGATCAGAGGAAGAAAGTGATGCTCCTGAAGGACATGCTGGATAGCACCCTAATGCTGGACCCAGCCAAACGCATCAGCATCAACCAGGCCCTGCAGCACCCCTTTATCCAGGAGAAAATCTGACACCTGAACGCCACACAGTCCCAGAGCAGACACAGAACCGACCACTAATGCCCGCTCTGACAGAAACTCTGCAGCGAAGCAGCCAACCCACAGACCTTTATTCAGAATGTCATGGCTTTCTGTTCTTCTTCAACTCTATTTTGGTTATGGATACATCATTTTGTTTTATTGTAAATAGATTATTGAAATGGTAGCCATTCTTGAAGACATTGATTTTCGTGATATATCTTTGTAAACTTTTCCCCTCATACCCGGCAATGCAGTTATGGACTTTTCTTTTTAATTTAACTGGCATTGATTGGAGTGACAGATGTTTAAAAAAAATATAATTCCTGTACATACTGTATGTCTATTGCATTAACAATCTCAAGCAGCAGACACTTGAGTTTTGTCGTAGTTGCAGATGACTAAATACTTTGATTCTTTTTATAACAATTCTCATCGTGAGGCGATGCATGCTTTTGAATGTGCACCCTTTGTGCTCTAGATTTCTGTGGTGCAGGCCCGTAAATGCTCTGTATACAGCATCAGTTTCCCAATTGTGACAGCAACACCCCCCACCCCTAACCAAGTCTTTAGGCCTTGAGGTCTGAGCTGAAGGAATAGATGCATATTATGTACTCCTTGAACAAGAGTTTTCTTTTTTTTGTCAAAGCAGCTAATTGTTGTTTTTCTGTTGCTGGACATTTCCATGTTTTTTACCTTCCTCCCCTTCCAGCACTCTGGCTAGGCCCTGGCTCTTAAGGCTCTCACATTCAAGTGCCTCCTGGATGAGCCTAGTGTGTTAAAACACCCAACATACGCTGGCAAATTGAAGCCACACCTGTGACCCTCCTCTCCCACTGTATATAGTCCATAGTTTCTGTCGGTTCATGTGTGATTGATTTTTTTTTTTTTTCTTAAGTGGTAATAAAAACAATCTTGTGATTTCAATAAAGAATAGTTGTGGGAACACTGCTGACGGAGCACCTTCAGTATAAGACAACTTTTTAGTAATAAAATGTTTCCTATTGTATACAAATCCCCTTTCTTCATTTTATCCCTAATATGTTCCCACATCCTGTTTATCATTAGTGCAATTCATAGAAAATGCCTAGAAGTGTTGGATAAGAAGCAAAACAGTTGAAAGTGTACGGATTGGTCAACTGGATGTTACCTGTCCAGAAAATGCCTTCCTTGTAGCTCGGTAAGTGCAGTGTTATAAAAAAGCCACTGAGTGAAATGATAGTGCTGCAGCCTCAGAGCATCGGAAGTAAAAAATTGTCTCTTGTATCCTAGGTATTGCCATCTCTGCAGTGGAAAGTGGAAAGGTGCCCTTCATTTCCGTCACATGATTGCACTTGAGGTGAGCTGCTAAAAAGCATAATGGGGGACTCTCTTAGAAAAGATTCCCTTTTTCCTCCATCTGAAAAGTTAGGTAATGGTGCAAGAGCTCTTTGCATGCACAAAGCCAATTGAAAGGACTTCTGATATGCGATGATGGGCTATGAGCCTGGAGATACATGTGAGCTGGTAACCACTAGTAGAGATGTCAATGTAATAAACAGGTATACTAAAACCCACTGGCCTCTAATCTCAGCACAGAGACCGGGGCTTTAAATGTGATTATGTAACCAAATAAGGCATTTATAATCATCAAATGTGTGAGTAAGGGATTAAAACACTGCATAGCTCAGCCCTTACGGTGCAGTTGTAATTTCTTGAAATGATCAGAAGAGGGCATCAGAAGCTCTAGATATTCTCCATCAGTGACATCACTGATGGAGAATGATCTTGAAACTTTTATTTGAAATGAGAGGTTTATTTTACCAAGTCAAAAATTGTAAAGTAACAACTGGCTTAATATGTATTTACTGTCTATTAATTTGCATGGCACGGTTATGTTTGGTGGATTAATTGCTAAATCAGCTTGAATGAGAGTGACATAAGGAGTGTGTGCAGAAGTAGGTCTTCTGTTTGACATTACATGTCCTCTATGTTGGATTGTCGCCATAAAAAACAAAACCATTTATCAACCCAGCACATTTTATACGTGATTTAAACCAGCACAGGAAGAAGAAAAGAGACTTAAAATATAAGTTCTTTTTAATTTATTTTCTCATTTTTATTAAAACCATACAAACATTTGTAGTCAGTTATAAAAGAGCAAAGTGGCTCTTCTGGCGGACTGGCCGCTCCGCTCTGAGCCAGATCTGTCTGGCCTCTACCCAGGGCCTGGGAATCGCTGCTTTCAAAGTCAATTCTTTATTGGCCCCAGGATATTTCCCATTTCCTCTGCTAAACCTACAGAAAGTGTATTGTATTTACACATTATATATAAAAGAGCACAACAAAATGTGAAAACTTAAAAAAAACAAAATCAAAGAAAAGTAGAATGCATTTTGCAAATCTGAACTTTTCTGATAGTCTGACTTTTCATATATAAATGTTCTGTCATTTTATATTTGTTCAGGTCTCACAAGACACTTTACATGTTTAATATTTTTTTATTTTTCACAATGGAAGATTGGCAGTGATCTTTCTCTTGATCGACAGGCAGATACTGTACGTATAAGGCACATATCTCAATATAATTTCCTTCCCTCAAAGAAAATAATTTCTACTTCTTTGAAGAAGAAAAAACCACCAATGCACAGCTACAAAATGATAAAAGTACCAAAGAACAACAAAACAATTTGAACCTCATTGCTTTGACGCTGAATAAAAGGTAAACTACTCCATATTCTGTGTCCAGTCACATAGGACTGCAAGGCAATACTAACACTGTTCACAAATTTACTGCAAGACTTGATGGCAGTCCACATTCTGAATTTAAGAGCTTTGGAGAAAACAATACAGAGGATTTCCTATCAAACAGAACACGTCACTTAACAGCATTTACTGTATCTTTACGAGAGGGAAATTCATGTGCTGTGGACCACTGTTGGTCATCAAGACAGATTAAAAACATGAAATAATCATATCTATTTATGTAAGCATACATAACGCACCAACGGGGACCTTTGATCATAAAGGAGAAAATGTCCATTTTCATATCAGCTCCAAACAACCGTGCAATCCAATGTCAACATTTGATTTTCACAAACAGAATATAAAAACACTGTTATATACACTTGTGAGTACCTTACCAGACTAACTAAACCAAGCCATTTAGATATCAAGGGGACGACTATCTACAGTACCTTGAAGACTTGAATGTGTTCGTTACCATACTGCAGTTACTCTCCACAAAAACACCACTTGGTAAAACTTGGTAGAAGCACTGAAACATTTACAGATTCACAAAAGTAACAAACAAAATAACAGCAAATGTAAATACACCACTTATTAAAAACCTATGATATATGATACAAAGTTATCACCAGGGCCTGCTAAATAATGACCCATTTCTGACCTGCTGTAACCAGAATGGATTGAGCGGCTTTGTACCTGTGGGATCAGGACTGCAGATACTTGGCACATGGGCTGGTCTATAAACTTATATAGACAGTGTTCATGTTTTACCTTGAATACATGCATCTTTACTGATAGTGTATACAGCAAAACCAGTGACAATAAACCAAATACTGTTTAAAGGAGTGAACTTTTTCTCACCATCACATGGAAATACAAAGAGAAGAGCTTCCAAAAATAGCCTACATTCCAGAAAAGGAATATAACTATTTATCTATACATAATTTTGACACATCCCGTTTCTGTGTGGGATGACCTTTTTACAAAATAAATGGGTTTGGCAATTGCCTTTTCCAGAACACTTTAAGTACATATTAAAGTTCTCGTAATTGTCACTTTGGTCTAAATCTTCACATACACCAGAGTTTTTCTCTTCCTTTTTTTACATTTTTCTGAAGGGAGGAGATAGCAAAGAGGGAGAAAGCAGCTACCGCATGATAGCCAGGAACTTGCTCTCCTCAGCCAGTGTGGTGAGCAGAGAGCTCATGTCTCCGATCGCCATGTTGTTCAGGCCGGGGGCCACACTGTGGAAGGTCGCAGATGCTCGAGGCGTGGTCAGGCGTGATGAGGTCCTGGACAGACCCTGGAAGATGGAGGGACTCAACACTCCTGAGACCAGGCTACCCTGGTCATAGCCATCCTCCAGCATGGCACCAAAGTCTAGACTTACGCCCTCATCTAATAAACTGGGCACATTGCCATCCACTGTGCTGGTCACCTGGTCTGCACCAGGGGAGAGCAGGCTTGCCGTGTTCTCGTTGCCAGCACCTTGTCCCACAGACTCAGCTATGGAGTCCAGCAAGCACTGCTCCTCTAGGATAGGGAACGCCTTAACATCTGGTGGTTCGAAAGAGAGGCATTCATCAAAGCCATGCTCTAAGTATCCATGGTCTGGGCCCTCTAGTTTCAGCCCAGATACCTGATGCGCAAGGGAACAGTGGTCCCCACTTTTCTGCAATTGTTGCTGTTCACCACAGTTCTCTGGGTTGAGGTACTGCTGGGTCCGCACTGAATTCCTGTAACCGATCGGTGGGCGAGGGACATGGACCTGTCGATTGTGATGAACAGCAGTTCCCTGGGAGAGGCTGGGGATGTTGTCCATAGAGGTCCTGCTAAGGATAAGGTTGTTCCCAATTTGGCAAGAGGTGGTGTGGTTCTGTTGGAAGTGGCTCTGCTTCTGAGGTCCATTGGAGGCCTGCTGTTTGAAGGCCTGCGGAAGAGGCGCGTCTACGATCTGTGAGAAGTTAGGCCTTCCAAAGGTGTTTGTAGAGTTGTGACTAGTACCTCTCATCTGCATGCAGGAGTTAGGTGATGTTTCAAGCTTAACCCCAGGGTTGACACAACAAGCATTTTGAGGCAGATTAGCCTGAGCACAACTGTTCGGGAAATCAAGGGGCGCTTGCTGCTGAACCACCATGTTTCCAAACCTGCCAAAAGGTGCAGATATTGTTCCATGGTCTGTGCCAGACCACCTTCCACACTGTGTTTGGTGGTTTTGTTCTCTCTGAGGAGACCTGTCAACACTGCCAGAGCTCACTTCATTCCACTGGATGGGAAGCTTACTCGGGCTTGTCCGCTCTGCTATCTGCTGGAGACTTTGGGATCCAGGAAAGGCCATATTCAACCCTGATGTCTGGATCAGTTCTACTTCCTCCATAGATGGATGGGAGACGTCCCTTTGGCCAGAAGCTAATTGGTCCTCAATGTGCATATAGGAGCCACCATCCACCTGAGCCTGGGAGTGAAGATACTGCACCAGGTCATCTGGCAGCATATCCTCATCCCCAAGTAACATGCCAGCCTGATCCTCCATGGCCAGTGCTTCTAAAGCTGCGTGTTCTGCGATGCTAGGAGTGTACGGTGAGTGCTGCAGGCCTCTCTGAAGGTTGCCCTCTGATCGCGTGTAGTTCTGTAGGCCAAAGCTGCGGGTTTCAGGGGACGAATGATGGGACAAGGGCGGAAGAGGGTGGAGGTTGTTGAGGCTGTTGAAGCGTTGCACTGGTGGCAGATTGCAAACGTCGCGAGTCTGCGTCCGCACTGGGTCGCTGGCCCTCCGGTTCCCATTCAGTGGCCCCTCGCCAGGATAGAGGACTCTCCTCCGATGACCTGCATGACCCACATACCCATTGGTGTACCCGTTGGTGCCATCACCGCAGCAATGTGGCCTGACTAGTGGCGGTAAAGGCTGGTTGCTACCACCATCATCCATCATGGCCATGCGCGTCTTCAAGCTCATGCGCTCCATGTTAGGAAGAGGCGTGGGAGGTGGGCCACCAGTGGCTGCTGCATACTTGGCTTTCAGGTGGTAGTGCTGTGCTGGTGTTAAAGTGAGCATACCCCTTGACCCTGCTACTCCTCCCATACCTACTCCTCCTATACCTCCACAGCCCGCACCTAGGTGCATCCCTCCACCCCCTCCTCCTGTCCCACCTCCATAGTGACTCGCCTCGCTTGACCGGCGGGAGGCATCAGTGGAGATGGGGTCGTATGAGTCGGTGGAGCTGAGGTTGTGGAGGCGGCGGTGGTGGCTTGCAGCCATCGTACCCTCACTCTGGGAAGCCTGG